GAAGAGGAGTTCATTAGGGGGACAGCTTATGATCATGTTGATAATGGTTTGCGTTTTCCAGAATATTCATATCTTCTTTGGAGGCCTGGGAAGGATATAATTAAGCATGAAGTTGTTTTTAATAAGGAAACACATGCAATTTGTTGCACATGCATGTACTTTAGTGAGACTGGTTTACTTTGTTCTCATTCTCTTCGAGTATATCATTTGCATTGTGTGCGTAATATTCCACAAGAGTATATAATGAAACGATGGACAAAGGCTGCCATGTGTAGTCATGGTATTGAAGAACCTATTTTGAGGACAAATGTTGTGGCTACTAGTGTTTGGAGGTCACAAACAATCAGAAAGTTTGTTAAGTTGATAACAAGTTGTCAGAATTCTTTGAATGCAAGGGCAGAGGTTGAGTGTTATTTCAATCTGTTAAAAGAAAAAGGTTGAGAGTGTATCAGGTGTAATTGACTTTAGTGAACCTGTTAAAGAGGTTGAAATTGTTGATCTTGAGATCAAGAATCCTCCAAAAGCTAGGCCTAAAGGTGAGAGGAATGTAAGGCCTAAGAGTACCTTGGAGAAGCAGTGTAACAAGGCAAAGGGTAATTTCAAGAGGAAAAAAGTCTCTGTACACTCCTTACAAAAGGGGTATAGGGCAAGCAGTTGTACAGGTATATGATCATTTCATATTTTCAAATTGATCATTTCAGTTTTCGTAAATGATCATTTATGTTTTTTCTTTTTAAATAGGAACTTGATGAGAACGGTTGTGCTGTTACTTATGCTAATTCTATTAGTGATCCATTGAATTGATTGTTTTGAGCAATAAACGGGCTCAGGTAAATTCAAATGTGCCAAAAAAAAACATTTTATTTATATTTTATTAATATTGATTTTTATAATTTAAAAATATAGGTCGGCTTAAAATCAGCTGTTGTAGAAGAAATTCCTTCTAGTTCTAAGGAATCAAATCATAGTATTTCCAATGATTTTGATCAGGTATAATGAACATTTATGATCTATATTATAATTTTTTTTTATTTAATTTTTTATTTTTTATATTTTTTTTTGGTTTTTTTGTAGGCTACTGGTGAAAGCTCTCTTTCATCTATCATATCTATTGATGTTGATATTTCATCTATTGCTAAGGTTTTTTTTTTTCCATATTTGTTTGTATAAGTGTTTGTAACTGATCATATACTGGTTTATTAATGATCAATTTAATTTTTTTTAAAGGCAAAGGATTTAAATCTTGAAGGTGTTTCTGCTGTTCAACCTTGTTCTAATTTTGTTGCAAATAAAGGTGCTTCTGGTGTTAAAACTTACTCTCAAATTAATCCAAGAGTTCCAATTCATACTAGTGCGTCAACAAAATCTCCTGTTGTTATTCAACCTACTGTTCCCAGGAATGTTCAAAATCAAACTCAGAATTGTTCAAACACCAATCCAGAAATGATCATATCCAACTCCAGGAATGTTCAATCAACAAATGTTCAAGTTATTTCTCCTACGGTTCAAATAAATGATCAAGGATTTCCTGTTCAGAATGTTCAAGTTACTCCTCCCACAGTTCAAAGAAATGATCAAGGTGCTCGTGTTCCAATTCTTCAATCAAGAAATGTTCAATTAGGTTCTAAAAAGATTTCTTCTAAATATGATAGGTTGTTTAGCCTTTTTTGATACAAGTGTAGCTAAACGTTTGGCTAATAAAGATAAATAATTAGTATTCCAGAACTTTATAAACATTAGACTTTTTTGTAATGTTGATTTAATTACTATTTTGTAATTTTGAATTTTCGATCTATTATATAAAAAACTTTCATTCAAAGATTAAAATGAAATATCAATTACAATAATATTAAAATAAAATCCATAAGTCTACTTCTAAAAAAAAAAAAAATAGTCATATATAAGAAATGAACATATACATAGTTGTAAATGAACATTTGAAACTACAAAGTTGCAAATTTTCTAGCTTTCCTTCTATTTGCTCTTGATTCAGTGTTTTCTTCAAATAACATCAGTTCTGCTGTGTATTGGAGCCTTAGATTTCTAATTTGTTCCACCTGTTGAACAAAATGAATTGTCAAATTTTAATTAAACAATCTTTACTGTTTCATAAATGAATATTATATCTTAAATAATTGATCATTTATAACTCTTACATTGTTTGGTTTTAAATCACAAATCCAACTCTCATTAGGATCAGCAGTGAAGGTTTCCATATGCTTCATAATGTAAACTCCACAGTTTGTATAGTCATTGTTGCTACGCCATTTCATCTTTTCCAAAACAACTGTGTAGTCTTCAATTCTTTTTGCATCTTGATATCCAAGGTGTTTCATGTACTCTGCCAATCCTTTTAACTGATAGAAAAAAGAGTAAAAATTGTTTAGAAGTTTGTATTGTGATGAAGACATGAACAATAAATAAAAATAATTGATCATGTAGTCAACTATAAATGAACATATTATCTCACCATCATTTTTGGTTGTTCTTCATATTTTGCTTTGACTGATACCTTTTTTGGTAGTTTTCTATTGTCAATTATATGAATTTTGTCTTCTATATGATTGACGCACAACAGAAAAAAATGTTGAGAAGTTGATACTGGGAAGAAGACCTGAACAAATTATATAATGTTATTGGACAATATATTGAATGTAATTGAACATTTGTATTAAACAAGAATTAATACCTGTTTATATCCAACAATGCTGTCAATTTTATTCAACTTCAGTTCATTGTCAATTCTTTCTATGAAGGCATTAATTCTTGTCTTCATTGATGATCCTTCTTGACAAACTCTATTTGTGCACATAATGTGCTGTTGAAATACAAACAAACATATAGAAGTTAAATGAATTTTTAGCAATTATTTATCATAGGAAAATAGAATCAATAATATAAAAAAAGAAGAAAGACTAACATGAAGCACTGTTGAGAAATAAATCTTGTTTCTCGGCTTTTTATGATTAAGAAACCTTGCCCATCCATCTATGACACAATTTGTCACTTCAACATCATCTCCAAGAGTTTTCATTTCATTTCTATTGATGAGATTCAAGCCATCATAGTATAAGAGTGCACTGCATTATGAACATTTAATAATATGAATGTGAACATATTTTTATAAAAGATATTAAACCTTAAGTTTAATTAGTGTAAGTAATTACCTTTCATCTTTTCCACCAAGAGCAAAGTCTACTGCAATTTGGTTCATGGCTTTCTCATCTTTAAACAGATCCTTGTACTTGACCAAGTAAGGAGATCGGAAAGCAGGAGGAATTGTTTTCTTTTCGCGTTTTGGTCTTGTTGTTCAATATAAAATATTGTTAAATTAAGAAAATTATGAGGAACATAAATGAACATTTGAGTGTATATAAATAAATTTGAAATTATACCTTTCAACCTTTTCCTTTTCAGTTTTTTTCTTCTTTTCTGCAATTGACTTTTTCTTATCATCATTCCTGGTCATATTACATAACACAAATGTACATTTAGGTATATGAAAATGTTCATTATTATTTTTGAACATTTACTTAATATAAATAATGTACCTTTTTGTGACTTTTGAGGATGAAGCAACAATCTTCTTGTTTTCACTGAAAAGTGAAACAATGTCAGTACATATTAATAAAATAAAAGCTTCTTATGTAACACCCTGAATCATTTTCAATTCATAAAATGAAAGATATTGATTTAACATAAACCTATTGATTTAACATAAACCACACATTCATATTACATATTCAACAAAATAATGTTCACACATACAATAGTTTGAGAAACACCAGTTTCAAGTTACAACACGATAGTAACATAAGTTAAATTGTTCCATCTAGATATTTTATCCTACACCATTACATAACCCTAATAGTAAGACATGTCTTCAGGATTTTACCCCTCCACTTTTTCATCATTTTTTGTTTTTTCAAAAACATCTTCCTTGTTTTGTTTTCCACCTTCAACTGTGTTTTTTGGATCATCACTTTTTTCACCACCATCTGACCTAGGGTCAGCATCAACCACTGAACCAGATCCTGCATCTAAGAAAAAATTTAATTAGATATAATATAATTTCTTTGTAAATGAACATTTGAGTATTTATAATTGAACATTATACCTGTTCTAGGCAATCCTTCATTATCTGACCTAGTGTCAGCATCAAATTTTGAACCAGTTGCTGCGTCTAACAAAAAAATACAATTAATAATGAATATTTCTTGTTTGTAAATGAACATTTTACACTTTTTAATTGAACATTATACCAGTTCTAGAAAATTCTTCAATTCTTTGTTCTGAAGCTGCTGAAGTTTTACCCACATCCTTTTCTTCAGCTGTATTATAAATCATCATTTTGGAGATACACTAAGTTAATAGTATTTACACATAATAATTAGAAATGAACATTTCTACTTAAGTTTATGTACATTATTATTAAATATATGAACATATTACCATTTGTTGAAATTATTGGTTGTTCAATTATATCACCAAGTGTTGAAAAGGTGGGCCCTGTTTCTGTTTAGGACAATTTAGACCACAAATTTAGAATTTTTCATATAAAAATTAGGATATATAGTCTCTTTTAGTTAGAATTTACCAATGGCTGGAGAAGGTGGAGTCAACCCCAAGCTGAAAGCTTTTCTGATGTCATATTCTTGTTCTTTTTCCTTTCCCTTTTTGGTTAATTTCTTCCCAGTCATTTGCTTCTCAGTTGTTTGCTTTTCAGACCCTTGCATCAGATTCTTCTCAGCTTGTGCAAGTGCATTTAGGAAATCCTCACTGCCAAAGAATTCTTCATCTTGGCTTAGAAATGATGGTTCCCTAGCTACCACCTTTCCTAAAACTTCATCAACTTTTTTCACCAAGTCATTTCCAGGGAAGATATCCTTTGCCTTCACCAATTTTGAAGAAAGCTTTGACAGGTTTGAACAAGTTGTTTTTTACCAGGGAAACAAAATCATCCATAAAAACCTATATGAATGAATATTAAAAATTATGCAGTTGAACATTTCAGATTATACAAATGAACATTTATGTTAACAAAAGTGATCATTTTATAACCTTAGGACTTTCTTCAACTTCTGCAGCAATCCTTGGTAGAATTTTCCCTCTCCCAAATCCCAATTCTAATTCAATCTTCAACCTCTCAAGAACCATGTCTCTATTCCATGCAGATATGATAGGAATTTTTCTTGGAGGCCTTTTGTCTAACCTCTGAACTCTATCAAAATAGAACAACTACAAGAAAAAAGAAAACATGGAACAGAACATAAACAATAAAAAAAAGTGCATTTATTTAAATTTAAATGAACATTTTGTATCTAAGAATATACCATCAGAAATTGAAGAGGGCCTTTGTAGAACCCCTTGCCTTGCTGCTTTCTCCAATCAACATGACATTTGATAAGTGAGTCATATACAAACTGACACCAGTTCAAATTTTTTATGTTTTCTTTGTCCATCATAGAATAAAGAAATTTGAAATGGCATTGATTGTTTGATACACATTTCATCAAGCAGTTCACAGCCACTGCTAAAAAGTTAGTAATGAAATGTTCACTTGGTGGTCTGTTGTTGGTGAATTTATCATTTATGTATCCATTCACAATCTGCAAACAAAATGAACAAAACATTTATACTTTTGATCATTTAATGTATTTAAAATGAACATTTAAAACTGATCATACCTGACTCACTGATGGAGTTTTTCCTGACCATGATTTTCTCCATTTCTTCAGAAATTCTGCATACTCCTCACTAATTTTATCAGACTTTGGCTCAACAATTGGAATTTCTCCTGTAGGCAAGCCATAAACTACCCTAACATCCTCTACCTCAATTTCTATTTTTTCATTCTTTGGTAGTTCAAAACACTGGCTATTTTCTTCAAAACTTCCCAATAACCAGTTACAGAACTTTTGATCAAGTTGAGGTAAACTAATGTCAAGAAGTGATCCTAACCCTATATCAACAACTTGTTGTTTTTGGGTAGGTGTCATCTTTTTTATCCATGCAATGAACTTCACATGTCCTCCTCTCTTTGAAGATTTCTCTTCCTCAAATTCATCTTCCTGAATTTCCTCAACTTCATCAGTTTCTATTGCTTGAACCATTTCAGTTTTCATTTTCTTTTTTCTCCTACCTTCAATCTTTCCTTCATCATACAGTACCATCTTTTGCTCCTCCTTTTCAACCTTTGCCTTCACTGAATTCCCTTTCTTTGCCTGTTTCTTCCTTGGCTTTACTTCATCCTCTTCCTCCTCTTCCTCCACCTCATAATCATCCTCACTGACAGGCTCTTCTTCTGCTCTATAAACTGACTCTTCACTATCATCATCACTGTCAGTAGAACTTTCATCAGTAGGATCTTGAGAGGGTTCATCTGATGGTACTTCTTGTATTTTTTTTCTCTTTCCAGCATTTCTCTTGGCAGGACTGACATCTGAAAATTAAATATATATAATTTTGTTTAAGTATTGAAAATGTACAGTAAGCAAATGATAAAATGAACAAAATTGTTTTCTCAAATGATCATTCTATATATAGAAATTGAACATTTATAATATATCATTATATACCTGCTTTTCTTTTGCCAGCAACCTTAGAAGTTTTCTTCACTTCTTCTAGAGTTTTCTTTTTCCCACCTATATATTGAAATTGAACATTAATGATATACCATCATAAATGATCATTCTATACATTAAGATTGAACATTTACCCTTTTTGCCTTGGTCTGGAGGATATTCAGCAGGAGCACCTGCCATTTTTTTTATTGGAGTAGGTGCTGGAGGTGGTGCATCAGCTTCCTTTTGAATAGGAAAATTCCTTGTAGACATTCTTCTCTTCTGTCCTATTTTTGCGGTTTCTTTAGCAGGTTCAACATCCTTCTTCAGGCTTCCCTTTTCAGATTCATCTAACAGAACATCTATTGTTTTTAAAAAAAATTTATGTTAGTATATTTGAAAGTGTAATATTTATTGTGTAACAGAAAAGTATTATGATTACCTTGGCTCCTTGTAATTCTACCACTTGGCACAACAACAAGGCTTTTGTTTTTGTTTTTCCTTGCAACCATTTTGTATCTTGTTTTCATTTTGGTTGACTGATCACTTTTTTGTGATGATGGAGCTGTCTCCTCACTAAGTTTTGTGGAAAACTTTATCATCATCTTGATCTAGAAGATAAGTTTCATCCTCAATTTGAACAAAATCAGGTGCAATTTGTGTTGCATATGAAATGATCAAATATAAAAGATTAAATAAACATTTATTAAATTGGATGACAAATGTTTACTATATACAATATAAATGAACATTTCAGGTAATGAATATGTACATTTTCCACTATTTACCTTTCGGATCTGTTGTCTTTGTAGACTCATCTTCCACTGTTTTCTCTTTAGGGATTTTCTCCTTTTCAGGCTCTTTTTTTCCCTCTTGTCCTTCTATGAAAATTTAATTAGTTAATATTTATATATTTTTTTTTAATCTTATTGAACATTCAATATTATGTAGATCCAATATGAACATTTTATGTAATAAAAATGTACATTTATAAATTTTTACCTTCTACATTTGTTGTCTTTGGAAAGACATCTTCCACAGTTTTTGTCTTTAGGGCTTTTCTCTTTTTCAGTCCCTTTTTTTCCTTCTTGTCCTTCTATTAAAATTTATTTAGTTAAAATTTAATTTTTTTAACCTTATTGAATATTTAATATTATGCTTTTCCAATATGAACATTTTTTGTAATAAAAATGTACATTTTAAAATTTTTACCTTTTTCCACAGTTTTCTCTTCTATTGGCCCTTTTTCTTTCTTTTTTGCTTCACCTTCAAAAGTAATAGTATTGTTAAAATTGATATTTATGACTATTAAACAAAAATATTCAATAAATATGATCATTTACCTTTCCTGATTTCCTTGCTTGCCTTTTCCATTCTTTTGAGATTTCTCATAATTCTGATTGTCGATTCTTTGTACTTTCTGTAAATGTATGATATTAACTTTGAAATATATTCATTAATTGATTAAATTAATTCAATTATTTAAATTTAAACATACTTTGGGTTTCTCTCTATGTTTAAATGTATTTCTTGCATCTTGTCCTTTAATGTTGTTATTCTTGAATCATCTTTGGGTTTTCTGATATTTCATTAAAAATATGTTTGAATTTACAATTTTGATTAGTAAATAAAAAAATGAACATATAACTTATATTACTATTGGTCATGAGCAAACTTTTTTGTACTGATTTTCAAATGAACATATAGTCTATCTAAATTGAACATTTAAGTTTTCTTACTTTTGGCCAAGACTATTCTTTACTGGATTGCTTTGCACTTTTGGTTGAACTTCTTCTTGCTTGCTGAAATCAATATTAAGAAATACTTTAAATAAAAAATGCACATAAATTGTACATAAAATATACTGTTATAAAAATGAACATTTATTTATATAAAATTGATCATTAGTATACCTTTCATCCCTACTCTCTTTGTCAGTTGTGTTATGTGTAGCAGACACACTCTTAGTTGTTGCATTAGTAGCAGGAATGTTCTCACTTTGTTCACTTAAAAAAAACAGAATTATTTTATATAATATGATATTAAAGTATGAACTAATTTATACAATGAAGAAGATAATTAGTTATTTTGTATAAAGCTTTTATACCTTATTGTTTGATTTGTCTCTGGTGGTCTTGATTTTGACATAACAAATTTCACTCGAACCTTTTTTTTTTCACTAAAATTTTAAGAATTACCTAATAAGTTTGGTATATATATACAATGTACAATAATTGAATGTAAAAACAATTATTTTATACATATAAACTTACTTGTTTAAAGTGTATCTTTCATAACTATTACCATATTCATTTTGTTCTATAACCTTCTTTAGAGTTAATGGTTCAGATTTCCCATCTCTAAATTGAAGCAAGTGTATCACTCTAAATGGCACATCACTACATTATAAATTAATTACATGACATTAGTTTGAATGCATATCACTGAAATGATTATTATCATATTTATATATGTGCATGATGATTTAATGAAATGTATATTTGTTATTTAAATCTCAATGAATACTCAAATGAACAAATATACATATATGATCATAATTATATCTATAAATGAACATTATGAGTATCAAATATGATCATATACAATGATGTTTCAATGAAATGTACTTTTGTTTTTAAATCTCAATAAATACTCATATGAACAAATATAAATATATGATCATAACTATATCTATAAATGAACATTATGAGTATCAAATATGATCATATACAAATAACATATTAAACAAAGATAAAACCAATTTTATCAAATACAACTAGCATATTAGACATGAACATAATATATTATGTAAATGACTAATTACCTTGGTAGTGGAGACATTGTTAAATCCGTACCAATTGACTTGTCAATATCTTTTAAAAGTTCCGGATCTACAATTGGATCATTTTGGCGGTTTTTTTTCAATTTGTCTACTCTTGACTGAAGAGGTACATCATCATCATCGTCTCTGTTTTATTTAATAAATTGTTAATGTTTTAGTTATTTTCAGTAAAATCTTAGAACAATTACTACAATCGCAAAAATTTTTAACAAAAATTAGGTTTTACAAATAAATTCGCTCTATAATTTTCATCGCAAGAATATGAACAAATTAGGTTTTACAAAAGTTAGAGTTCATACATTTCTTCAGAAATTTTCAACAAATTACTCGTCTCTGAAGTATTCTTCTCCAAAATCATACTACAATTGCAAAAAATTGAACAAAAATTAGGTTTCACACATAAAATCGCACTATAATTGTCATCGAAAAAAAATGAACAAAATTACTTACTCTTTAGATACATTTTGCTCCGATTTTGCAGTTTCTTCTTTCATGTTCTTCTCTGTAGTGGTTTTTTGCAAAATCGCACTACAATCGCAACAAAATGAACAAAATTAAGGTTTCACACATAAAATTGCACTACAATCTCAAAAAATGAACAAAACTAACGAAATTACTTACTCTTTTTTTTGTGATTGTTTAATTTCATCTCGAATATCAGACATTTGAAGCAATTATGAAGTGTTTTGAAGCAATTTTGCAATAATTTGAAGAGAATTTCGTTCCGATTCGACGGTGTTGATGAGAGAGAAATTCTAGAGAAATGAAGAAGATGGTTTTTAGAGAGAGAATAATTTGAAATGGATAGTTTTTTTTTTTTTTAATAATATATATGTGGGGTAGGGGAAGTTATTTCTAATTTACTGTGGTTAGTGGGAGTGAGTGGGGGTAGTTACTGTAGTTTGTGGGGGTAGGGGAAAAAACGCAAACGCTGCGTTTTGTAGGGGGTGTAGGTTATGGTACCTACACTAGGGTGTAGTGTATACTAATTATATCTGTAATCGTTTTAGGTGGGCTTTGGGTTGAACTACGGAGTAATTAATTAATTACCTGAGGCCCAAACGTTAATACTTGTAACACATGTTTTTTTTTTTTGACCAGTTAATAACACATATTTAAAAGAATTCTGTGGTATACTAGGCAATGGATAAGATAATTAAAAGTAGAAAGATTAACCTGAAATAAACATTAATTACATCGATCGACGCGTGATTTTAGCATACATTCCTAAATTAATAACATATTAGAAAATATTTAAAGAATTATCCAATGGCCTGAAGCGTTCGTTAACAAGATCCTTCAAATAAAATAATTTTATATGTATGTATAAAAGTTCGTCTACCACTCCACTTAACATCAATATGTGCTAAGTCAAGTGAGATCGATAAACTACCGTTGTATTGCATTTTAATACCACTCCTTATTTCTTAAAGATGACAATAGAGTGAGTCAAATACGAGAACCCACCCCAATAATACAGAGATATATAGTTCTAGCCTCGTCCCACCTCTCTCAGCCCCATTGGCAACCCTACCACTAGCCAAATAAGTGTTTAAGTTAGATGTTTATGGATGTACATTGGATCATATGGCATGTCAAATCGACACATACACATGGTAATGCACCAAACATGGTTAGGAAAAGTGGGTTGTTTAAAATAATGGGTAAATGTGTATAGTAGTCAATTCGAGCTAATTCTACTAAGAAAGATTTAAGCAAGCTTAGAGGTGGGCACCGTGACGTGTCGGGCCATCGCGGGCCGTGCTTGGTGGTGGCTCGTGCCGTGCCTGCCAGTTCGCGGGTCGTGTCGTGCCAGGCCACAATTTGGCACACCCAAGCCCACGGCACGGCCCACGTGCCTGGCGTGTCGTGCCGTGCCGGGTAGCGGGCCGCCACTTATTTTTTATTTTTATTTTTTTTTAAAAAAAAATGATATATAATTTTTTTAACAACTTGTAAAATAAGTATATTTAAATAATTTTATTAATTTATGTTTATGTTTTTGTATTATCATATTGTTAATGACTTAATGTGCTTTTTATTATTATAGTTCTTTTACTCTTTATTTAGCAAAAAGTAACAATGCACATAATTAAAAAATTTACAAGTGCGATACACAAAAATTGATGAATAACTTATTTAATTTTATTATAAGCCGGTACGATAAATCGATAATACAATAATTTATAATGATAAAATCGACAATAATTGATGAATAACTTAACTTTATAGCTTATTTTATTATATAGGGTGCAATAATACAAAAATTAGCTATAATAATCTAATTATTCTTCTTGGTCTTCTTCGTCTTCGTCTTCTTCTTCTTGTTCATCGGCCAATTGCATTGATTGAGAACTAGTAGAACCCAACGTTCCTTCATCGTCGTCATTTTGTGCATAAGTACGATCTTGGCAGCGAGTTTCGGCATCCAATCAATCCTTGAAACAAACACACATTTCAAGTGTTTCGGGTTTTAGTTTTGTTCTTCTATCGTCTAAAACCCTCCCTGATGCACTAAAAGCTCGTTCGAATGCAACAGAGGAGACTTGGATAGCATAAATATCTCGTGCCATTGCCGCCAAAATTGGATGCTTCGAGTTTTGTGATTTCCACCATTCAATGATGTCGAGGCCGTACTTCTCTTCGTCATCCATGCCTTTCATGAAGTCGTAACTTAAATTAAGTACATTTGCAACTCCGAAACATCGCTTTGTGTTCTCCTAGATGATGATTCGGTACCTGAAAACTTAAACATCATGTTAGCAGCTTGTGCAAATAAACCTTTGGCCCTTTTACTTACATTTTTGGATGATT